AAAAAAAAAAAGAAAGAAAGAAATCTGACTTGACAGTGATTGCCTTTCCCAAAGTCCTTTGGTATGCACAGTTTCCTGAATGGGAGCTGGACAAATTCGTGTAGATTAAAGCAACAAGACTTCTGGGGGAAAAAGATGGAGAGCCAGCACACTCCCTTGTGCTGTTAGACCTCTGGAAAATTGGAATGGTCCTCGCTGAGACCCACTGTTGGGAAGTGATTTTAAGGACTCCCAAGGGGTAGCCACCATGACAGGCAGTCTACACTGGGAAATTTATCCCCCACCTTAGAGATTCATGGGGCAAGAGGGTGGGAACAGTGTGTGGCTATGATAGAAATACCCTCTTGATCTAGCCCCCACTGCCACTCCAACCAGTTTTGTTGGCATGGTCGTAGTTGTTACAGCAGCTAGCATCAATTACACTTGCTTATACTCTAGAACTTTGCATTTTACAGAGGATTTTTTTCCTAATTGGTGGAAATTCAGACTCAGTAAAGATTTTTAATCCATTGCATTTAAAGAAGAAACAGTCCTTCAAATAATCCCTTAGGTCTTAGATCCTATCTTCTACCATGTCCCTCTGTTTTAAACCACGTTCAGGTTTATTTCTCATACAGCATAAAGTTGGATAGGTAGTGACAGCAAGATTTAACAATCATACATCTTTATGTTCCTAACAACAGACCATTAAAATATATGAAGCAAAAACTGACAGAACTGAAGAGAGAAACAGATAGTTCTATGATAATAGTTGAAGACGTCAATGGCCCACTCTCAATAATGGATAGAACAACCAGACAGGAGATAAATGAGGAAATGGAAGACTTGAACAACACAGTAAATCAATGAGATCTAACAGACATACACAGAACACCCTACCCAACAACAGCACTCACATTCTCCAGTACACATGGGACATTTTCTAGGATCAACCGTATGTGAGGCCATAAACTACATCTCAGTAGATTTTTAAAAGTAGATATCATACAAAGAATTTTCTCCACCCATTACAGGATGAAGTTAGAAATCAATCACAGAGGTAAAACCAGAAAATTCACAAATTTGTGGAAACTAAACAACACACTCTTATACAACCAGTGGATCAAAGAAGGAATTAGAAAATACTCAAAGATGAATGACAACAAAAATGCAACATACTAAACATGGGATGCACAAAAGCAGTGCTAAGGGGGAGATTTATAGCTGTAAAGGCTCACGTTAAAAAATGAGAAAGATCTCAAATAAAAAGCCTAACTTCACAATTTAGGGAATTAAAAAAAGAAGAACAAAATAAACCGAAAACTACCAGGAGGAAGGGAATAATGAAGATTAGAGCACAGATAAACAAGATAGAGAATAGGGGGAAAAAAAAATAGAGACAATCAGTGAGACCAAAACTTGTTTCTTCAAAAGATCAACAAAACTGACAAAACTTGACTTAGATGGACTAAAAAACAAAACAAAACAAAACAAAACAAAAACAGAAAGAAACTGAAATTACCAAAATTGGAAATGAAATTGGGAGCATTACTACTGACTCCATAAGATCAGAAAGATTTACAAGACACTGCTGTGAACAGCTGTAGACCAACAAAGTGGGTAATGTAGGTGAAATGGGCAAATTCCTAGACCCTAGCAAGACTGAATCAAGAAAAAGAAAGTCTTGGGGCTCCTGGGTGCCTCACTTGGTTATCGACTCTTGATTTTGGCTCAGGTCATGATCTCAGGGCTGTGAGATCGAGCCCCACGTTGGGCTCTGCATTCAGCATAAAGTCTGCTTGAGATTCTCTCTCTCCCTCCCCCAACTCACATGCTCTCTCTCTCTGAAGAAGAAGAAGAGGAGGAGGAGGAGGAGAAAGTCTGAACAGATGGCTTCCCAGATTAACTCTAGCAAACATTTACAGAAAAATGAATACCAATCTTTCCTATACTCTTCCAAAAACCAGAGAAAGAAGCAACATTTCCAGACTCCTTGTATGAGGCCAGTATCATCCTGATACCAAAGCCAGACAAAACACTGCAAGAAAAGAAAACTACAGGCCACTATCCCTTATGAACACTGATGCAAAAAAAATCTTCAACAAAATACTAATAAACTGAATTCAGCAAAACAGCAAAAGGATTACACACCACGGCCAAGGGGGATTTATTCCTGGGATGCAAAGATGTTTCAATGGAAAAAACTGATCAATGGAACACACTACATTAATAGAATAAAGAAGAAAAAGAATTATCATTTCAGTTGATGCAGAAAAAGCATTTGGCAAAATCCAACACTCTTTCATGGTCAAAAACACTCAACAAACTTGGAATAGAAGCAAACTACCTCAACATAGTAAAAGCCATGTATGAAAAATCCACATCATGCTCAACTGTGAAAGACTAAAGGCTTTTCCTCTAAGGTCAGGAACAAGGCAAGGATACCCCCTTGTGCTTTTTCTATTCAACATAGCATTGGAAGATCTGGCAGAGCAATTAGGCAAGAAAAATAATTAAAAGGCATCCACATTGTAAGGGAAGAAATAAAATTATCTCTGTTTGAAGATGATATGGTCTTTCATGTAGAAAACCCTAAAGATTCCACCAAAAAAAAAGTTAGAACAAAAAATGAATTCAGTGAGTAGCAAGATACAAAACCAACACACAAAGATCAGTTGCATTTCCATACATTAACAGTAAACAATCTGGAAAGGAAATTATGAAAATATATCCATTGACAATAAAATCAAAAAGAGTAAAATACTTAGGAATTAATTTAACCAAGGAAGTATAAGACTTGTACCATGAAAACTACAAAACATTGCTGAAAGAAATTAAAGACACAAATAAATGAAAAGACATCTCATGCTCATGGATTGGAAGGCTTAATATTGTTAAGATGTCAATACTACACAAAGTGATCTACAGATCCAATACAATCTCTATCAAAATCCCAATGACATTTTTTGCAGAAATAGAAAAATCCATCCTAAAATTTGTACAGAATCTTGTAGGATCTCATGGGACTAGGGAAAACGATCTTTAAAAAGAACTGGAGGACCCACATTTCTGGTTCCAAAACTTACTACAAAGCCACAGTAATTAAAAGACAGTGATGCTGGGGCACATGGGTGGCTCAATTGGTTAAGCATTGGACTCTTGGTTCCACTCAGGTCATGATCTCAGGGTTCTAGGATTGAGCCCTGTGTTGGGCTCCATACTCAGCAAGGAGTCTGCTGAAATTCTCCCTCTCTCTCTCTCTCCCTCCCTCCCTCTGCCCTACACACACTCTCTCTCTAAAATAAATAAATATATCTTAAAAAAAAAAAACAAACCCTGAAACACAGTGATGCTGACATGAAGTCAGGCATAGAGACCAATGGAGTAAAATAGAGTCTGGAAATAAACCCTCCTAAGTGTGGTCAAATGATTTTCCACAAAGGGGTCAAGGCCATTCAGTGGGGAAGGACAATCTTTTCAATAAACAGTGTTGGGAAAACTGGATGTCTACATGCAAAAGAATTAAGTTGGTCCCTTACCTAAAAGCATATACAAAAACAAACTCAAAATGGATCAAAGACCTAAATATAGGATATAAATCTATAAAACTCATAGAAGGAAACATAGGGCAAAAGCTTCACAACATTGACTTCAGCAATGATTTTTTGGATCTAACCCAAAAGGCAAAAGCAACAAAAGAAAAAATAGACAAATAGGACATCAAGAAAATTAAAGTTTTGTGCATCAGGGGTGCCTGGGTGGCTCAGTCCATTGAGCATCTGCCTTCGGCTTAGGTCATGATCCCAGGGTCCTGGAATCGAACCCTGCATTGGGCTCCCTGATCAGTGGGGAGTCTGCTTCTCCCTTTCCCTCTGCCTCTCCTCACTCTGGTGCTTGCTTGCTCTCCCTCTTTCTCTCAGATAAATAAATAAAATCTTTAAAAAAATAAAGTTTTGTGCATCAAAGATGTATCAACAGAATAAAAAGGCAATCTACAGAATGAGAGAAAATATGTTCAAATTATATATCTGATAAGGGATTATTATCCAGAATAAATAGACAACTAAAATTCAACAACAAAAAAACTCATTTCAAAACTGGACAAAGGACTTGAATAGACATTTCCAAAGAAGACACAGAGCTGGCCAATGAGCACATGAAAAGAAGCTCGCCATCGCTCATCGCTGGGGAAATGCCAATCAAAATTACAATGATATACCACATCCATTAGGATGGCTACTATCAAAACAAACAAACAAAAACAGAAAACAAGTGTTGGAGAGCATGTGGGGAAATTGGAAGCCTTGTGCACTGCTGGTGGGAATGTAAAATGGTGCAGCTGCTGTGGAAAAACAGGATGGCAGTTCCTCAAAAGCTTAAAAATAGATTCTTTTAATGATTCAGCAGTTCCACTTCCGGGTATATATCTAAAAGAATTGAAAGCAGGGTTTCAAAGAGATATTTATATACCATGTTCATAGCAACATATTCACAATAGCTAAAACACAGAAACCAACCAAGTGTCCATCGATGGATGAAAGGATGAGCCTAGTGTGCTCTATCCCACAATGGACTACTATTCAGCCTTCAAAAGGGAGGAGCTTTCTTTAATACAGGATTGTGGGCACAGAGGAGGCATGGCTTAAATAACTTTTTCCTTCTCTCCGAAGATATTTTAAACTGTACTGATATCTCTTAATATTAAAAGTAAAGTTATCTAAGAGTCCAGAGGAATGTGACACTGGTTCTGGAACCATGGGCAAGCCTCTGCTCTCTGGGCCTCAGCATCCTTGTCCATGAGACAAGGGAGACTCCATCTTCAGGGCTTTTGTGTTCTTCCGATCCCTCCGCTGGTAGTCCCCATGCTGCAGCGATCCAGACACTTCCATGGAGCTGTGATTTATAAAGGTATTTGCAGGTACCATCCTACGCGGGTCACGTCTTTTCCTGGAGCCACACAGGACTGAGCTCCTGCCCTCCACACATAGCTGGAAGGAAGCAGAGAAGAGAGGAAAGATGTGGGGCGCCTGGGTGGCTCAGTTGGTTAAGCGACTGCCTTCGGCTCAGGTCATGATCCTGGAGTCCCTGGATCGAGTCCCGCATCGGGCTCCCTGCTCGGCAGGGGGTCTGCTTCTCCCTCTGACCCTCCCCCCTCTCATGTGCTCTCTCTCTCTCAAATAAATAAATAAAATCTTTAAAAAAAAAAAAAAAGAGAGGAAAGATGTGACAAGAGCCTGTGGGATGGAGGGTTCCTACAGCTCCCCATTGGAATCCGACTCCCACTCCTCCCCAGCGAAGCCAGTCAGGCTGATGGCGCCTAGCTGCCTTGTTAGTGACCCTCAAGGGGAGCAGGCTGAGGGGGACACGGGTGAGGGCTGAGGGGGCTGATCCTGGGCTTCTGTGGCCCACAGAGACCTCCAGATGGTGGGGCTGGTGACACAGGCTTATGTCTTCTTAATCACACTGTACTGTGTCTCCTCCTCCAGGGTCCTCTGGGAGCGAATCCTGTTGGCCTTAAAATCCCCACTCTGGAGGTCAAATACCATGGACGTGTAGTGAACTTCTTCCCTGGGAGCCTTCTGCAGAGAGAGAAAGACGGGAGGCTCAGGGAGAGGGGGGAGAAGCACGGGCCCCCAGCTCAGGATGGAGACGGGGGACCCCCGAGGGGGAGGAGGCTTGGGGCGGGGGGCCTTCACGGTGGGGGTGTCCAGATTTCCCCACTGTCCTGCCCACACCCCTGCTTCACCCCACCTGTGAAAACACAGCACAAAGTCCCAAGCATCAGACCCGGGCACGGGGCTGGGGTGCGGGGGGGAAGAGAATGCCTAGGATCCACTTTGAGATCATTAATCACCAAGGTAGGAAAACAAGGATGTTGCTAGTCCCAGGCCCACGTGTCTGATGCTTATCTCCCCCTCATCTTCTCCAACAACTAGTCCCCCAACCTCTCCCTGAACTCTTTCACTAGCAGGTGGGTCTTGACCCCAGTCAGGGGCGGACCTCTTCCATGTTTCACTTCACAGTCTCTGTGCCTAAGAATTGGCCTACAGGGGGTCACTGATTCAAAACCTGAAAAGGAGAGTTGATACAGAAGAGATAATGGTACCCAAAACAGTGGGAAATCTCAGGCTATCACACTGGCATGTGGTATACAGTAGGTCCTTAATAAATGCTATGCTTTACTGACTATTGACTCTCACTGACCACCCTGATAGCCCCTTCATCTCCCGCGCCAGCCCCCAGCTACAGTGACACCAAGCTCAGGCAGAATCGACACTTGCCCTACGTTCTGTGTGGCCAGTGCTGAAGAGACGTGAGATCAGCAAGCCAGCCCCTCATTTCCCCCTCTGCCTGCTGCCACCCCCCAGGGTGGTACCCCTAGCAGAGCCCAGGACCCCCGTGTGGGAGCCAGGCGCTAGCACTCACCACTGTGCTGTATTCCACCTCCTCCTGCCTCGGGTGCACAGGCTCTTCCCAAAGGGGCCACATCTGCAGCTCCAGATTCGCATAGTGGGGCTCCCCTTGCTGAGTAGCCCAGGTGGGCAGGAGATGGGGGGACTTGGTGGGTGTCCACGGAGCCCCTCCACGGTCCACCGAGAGGGGCCTCTGTTCCTGCCTGTGTGCGGACATCTCCCCCTTCCCTCGATGCCCTGGGTGCCCCAGCCACCCCACCTGCCTCCTCCCTCCCCCACTCTGGTCTTCTCTGGGAAATATTTAACTGCCCCCCAGGTCAGCATCGAAGGGCCCTCCCCCGTTCCACTTTCTATGGGGGGTATGGGTAGGGACAGACTGGCCAGAGCTCAAGACAAGACCCAATGACCGGATCTCCCAGGGATCACTCTCCCTGTTTTGGGCGAGCACCCCACTCCATCCATCGACCATGCACTCAGACCTCCACTGGCCAGTGGGGTTGTTCAAGCCCCCAACATCCTCTGTTCTCCCCGCCAGCCACCCCGGTACACCTCCAGCCTGTCTTACCTGACTAGGGGTCCGGAGTGGCTCTGGATTCTCACCAGCTAAAGAGACAGAAGAAGAGTTAGGAGTTTGAATCCCAGAACAAGGCAGGAATGGGGATCCTTATGATCCATCGGGAGGAAGGGATTTCCCTGGAGAATTTGGCCCCAGGGACCCGTCGCTTCAGGTCTGCCACTGGGTAGGTGTTCGAGGCTTTGCCGAGAGGATGAATTGGTGAAGAGGGAAAAGACGAATGAATGAGGGGGTGGAGGTGTGGAGAAATAAACTAGCAGGAAGGAAGGCGCACTGGCCTGGGGAGAGTGGCCAAACAAAGCTAGTTCTCAAAACAGTCACTCAAAGAATGTTCCCGGGTGGGAGAAGACAGGTAAAGGACACCCTTTAGAAAGACCTGTCGGCAGGATGAAACAGTTCTGGAGATCTCTTTCACCAAAACATGAATATACTTAACATCACTGAACTATAAACTCAAGAATGGTGAAAATGACAATTTTCACGGTATGTGCTTTTTACCACAATAAACAAAAACGCAGATCCACAGGCCCTGCCCCAGACGTCCGGAATCAGAATTGCTGGGGATGGGTTTGTGTTTTAGGAAGCCCTAAAACTTTTTCTAATTTAAAAAAAAGAAGAAGAAGAACTGTCCTGTGGAGACCTAGAATTGCTTCAAACCAGGAGAGGTCACGGGGGTCATCTGCTCCAGTCCCCTGGCCTGGGGGGGCTGTCCCGCACATTCAGGACACCGTGTGGCTTGGGGGGCTCACAGCTCAGGGCACACAACCTTGGGCTCCTGGCACCTGCAGTTTGCTCTGCAAGCGTCCTGCTGCTGAGTCAGGCTCTGTGCACCCCTGGCCCTTGCCACCTGGAGCCCCAGGAGCGGGTGGGCCGCCCGGGATGCACACACAAGACCGTGTAGCTGCACGGACATCACCGGGGAAGGAATGTGGATGGGAGCCAGCTGGACAGGAAGCACGCTGAGGGTGGAGCTCCGTCTACCCCGGTCACGACGGTGTCGCCCAGAGCCTGTCACAGCAGGCGCTGGGGACAGCAGTGCTGTGTGCGTGACAGAGGGAGGGAGGGAGTGAATGAGCGAGTGAATGACAAACAGGCTGATGGGGCCACACTGCCAGCCAGCGGGTGTGATGGGGCAGGCATCAGTCTGCCGGAGAGGGGAGGGGACGGTGAGGGGACAGGAGCTGAGACTCGCAGGGCTGGGGAGGGAGAGTCAGGATATTTGAACACAAGGCTTTTCTCTTGTTACAGAGGTTCAGTGAAGCAAGGTGTAATCCCCCACACACATGCACACACACCATTAAACTCTGCAGTAAGAGACTTCTAGAACATTTCATGGCAGGGAAAATGATACAACAGGTTAAGTGCAAAAAAAAAAAAAAAGCATTGAAAAGCAACTGGGGGGGCCCCTAGGTGGCTCAGTCGGTTGAGCGTTTGACTCTTGATTTTGGCTCAGGTCATGATCTCAAGGTCGTGGGATGGAGCCCTGTACTGGGCTCAGTGCTCAATAGGGAGTCTGCTTGAGGATTCTCTCCTTCTCCCTCTGCCCCTCCTGCGACATGTGCCTGGACACATGCTCTCTCTCTCTCTCTCTCAAATAATTAAATTTAATTAAAAAAAAAAAAGAAAAGCATCTAGAAGAACACACCTCATCTGTCAGTGGTTGTATTTCTCCGAGTGGTGGGAGTTTTCTTTCTTATTTATTATGGGGGATTTATTTCTTCTTTGTGCTTTTACTTATTTTTTTGAACCATCTTCTATCCCTTTTCTAGAAGGGAGGTTCTCTAGGTGAAAGGGCGGAGACGTCTGAGGCAATTGGGGCTGGGAAAATCCCCCCTGGGGAGGCCCACACCGCATGGGCCCGAGTGAGGGTGGAGGGCCCTCAAAAGTGATGTGGGAGAAGCAGATAGGGAAGAGGATGTGGTTTTCCTTCCCTATGTCAGGCACACACATGCCAGGGCTGACTTCTCTTCTAAAGGCCTGACCCCCACCGTGGGGAGGGGCCGTGGGAGGCAAGAGCTCAGGGTGGCTGGGCCTCCCCTCCCCGCTCTCCCGCCCTGAGCATGCGCCCGCTCCCAGAACACTGCCTCTGTGGAGTACACACCCCTCGTCCCCTGAGGCTGGACAAAGATTCCCCTGAGAACCGGCTGCTCATAGAGTCAAAAAGTTTCAGAACAAGAAGGAAATGTAAGGCTCACACTCCAACTCAGGCAGAAATCTGAGCTCCTTCGGGTGACAGCCTCTGGCCAGCAACAAGAAGGTCACATCTGCCTTCTTCTGTGCCTCATTTTATTTAATTGGCTCGTTGAGTTTCTTGAGCCCCTACTTACTGAGTGCCGGACAGGGTGCTGGGTGCACCCCACATGTTCTCTCTTTTAATCTGAGCGCAGAGGAGAGCAAGTGGGGCCCGGGATGCCCAAAGCATCTGGGGTGCCCTTAGTGGCTGGAGATATTAAACAATACGTTAATTTAACAAATACTGACTATGTGCCTTCTCGAGTTACTCCCTGATCTTGAGGATTAGCCCAGGCTGGTGGGGAGATGGGCAAGGAGGTAGGTGGGGACAATCTGCAGTGAAAAGGGCATGATGGTGCATGTCCAGAGGTGCAGCCAAGAGGGGCCCCCCAGTTACTTTCAGGGAGCCAGCAGAAGGAGCCAGAAGAAAAGAAGTCAGAGGGCCAGGAGGCCCACTAGGAGTGAGCCCGCAAAAAGAAGGCAAGGAAGGCGCTCCAGGGGCCCAGTGCAAATGCAGAAAGGGAGACTGATGTCATAGCTCCCGCCAGGTTGTAGGAAGTTGGGATCAGCTGCCGTCCGGAGTGTTAACGATGGGCAAGGAGTGGGCGGGACTGGTTGTGGAGACACCTGGACTTTCAGGATGTCATGGAAGGGTTTTAAACAGAAGAGGGTGACGGCTTCACGGACAACCTTCTAGGGAGCACCCCCCAGCCTGTACCATAGCGGGGACACCCCCTCTGGGGTCTAGCCTCTAAGGTCAGCCAGGATGTGTAGACTGAGGGTATGCATGTGATGCCCATTTTGGGGAACAAGGACACAAAACCTAGAAAACGAGAGGGTGTGCCGGCCCACCCCCCCACCTGGCTGGGGACTGACTCACATTTGATCCGTCTGCGAACCATCCTCCAGGCCAGCAGCGAGCTGCCCCCCAGCAGAAGCAGCAGAAGTGCCAACAAGGAGAAGAGTACTTGGAGCCTAGAGGGGGACACAGGGCAGTGTTGAGCAGGCGAGGAGCTTGCAGTGCCCCCCCTTATTTGCAGTAGATAGATAAGGTCACATTTCAAAAAAAAAAAAAAGATAGCATAGTCTCCTTTCTACACACAAGCAGTGTATTTTAGAAACTTCCAGAGGCTCTTTATTCAGAAACAAGAAAATATAAATGTACATTATTTTCCTCCTTCTTTCACACAAAGGAGGCAAAATACACTACTATATTTCTACCTAGCAGTACATCGTGGACATCTCTCCATCTCTGTGCATGAAGAAGACCCCACTCGTTTTCACAGCTGCTTACCATTCCATGGCATGGACAGACCATCACTTATTGAATTCTTCCCTCTTCATTGGCATTTCCCCCAGTCTCTTGTAATTACAAACACTGCTGCAAAAAAACTGCCTTATAACTCTGCCATTTCTTTCTCTTTTTTTTTTAAGATTTATTTATTTATTTTGAGAGAGAGAGAGAGAAAGAGAGAGAATCTCAAGCAGACTCTTTGTTGCGTGTGGAGCCGGGCACAGGGCTCAATCCCACAACCCTGAGATCACGACCTGAGCCGAAATCAAGAGTCGGACGCTCAACTGACTGAGCCAGCCAGGTGCCTGGTAGCTCTGTCATTTCTCCTGTGAACAAGCCACAGCAGATGGGAAGATGACTTTGGGTCCCTCACTTGCTAGGCTAGGCACTCCTTTTATGTCTGCCTTCATAATGTTCTAGTCTTTTCCTTAACGATGCACCTCGTCCCCCACATACACCAAGCCACACAGAACCTAGCTCTGCCCCGTGTGTGTATCTGCAGTCAGTTCTGGAAGTAGTGTGTTTGGGGCTTGAATTTCACCTTGCCTGATGTTAAGATTGCCACTTGGGTTGACAGGAGGCCTGTGGAAGGGCTTCGGGGTGTCATATAATAAAGAATCTGAATGGGGGCGCCTGGCGGGCTCAGTAGGTACAGCATGGGACTCTTGATTGCAGGGTCGTGAGTTTGAGCCCCACGTTGGGTGTAGAGATGACTTAAAAAAAAAATCTGGTTGGCCTTTGCCCCTGGCTTCTGGAAAGAAGGCTCTAAATCCTTGGGATTTCCCTAATAGTAGGTGTGCCTTTGTTATTCAAGGACCCCTTGGATCACACCTGAGTTTATGCTAAGAGATGAGGTGAGTCAGGGTTGGGGCTGGTCACCAGAAGGACCAACCCCACGATTATAGAGACTTGAGGCTCTGAGCCAGCCTGAAATTCAGGGAGCAGAGTGGGGCTGGGGATTGAGTTCAATCACGTGACCAATGATTCAACCAATCATGGTAAGGAACCCCACTAAGAATTCTGCGCACCAGAGCTTGCAGGAGCTTCACGGTTGGTGAGCACATCGATGTCCCAGGAGGGTGATGTGCCCCAGCTCCCCTGGGAGTCAGCAGGGAAGCTCTGCTCTCAGGACTGACCCTCCCAGACCTCACCCTATGTGTCTTTTCATTGACTGGTCCTGGCCTTTATCCTTTATGATAAAACCATATTTGTCAGTACAGCGAGCGTTTTCCTGCATTCGGTGAGCTATCTAGCAGATTAAGGACCCAAGGGGGTCATAGGAACTCCCAAATTCGTAACCAGTTGGTCAGAAACGTGATGGCCTAGGGATCCCCAAAGTGCTCCGGCATCCGAAGTCAGGCAGTCTTTTGGGGCTGAGCCCTCTGCCTTCGGGGTCTGTGCTAACTCCAGGTGGTCAGTTCCAGGTTTGAATCCCAGGACACAAGGTGGTGCTGGGATAAGGAGTCTGAGAACCTCTGAAATGGTTTACACCTGCGCATATTTTTCTGGAGAGAGAGTCTATAAACACTGTGGGATTCTCCTGGGGGTTTGTGCCCCAAAAGGTCAAGAACTGCAGGTTTAGAAGGAAGAACCCAAGACTCTGAGTCACATAAACCTGGGCTGAAGCCCAGCCTGCCTCCCATAGCTATGTGACCCAGTGAATCGCTTAACCTCTCTGAGCTCCCCTGTCTGCTCCTCTAGAACACAGGGGCAGTAATGGGACCGGGTTCTGGTGAAATGAGAACATGCACAGAGGGCATGTAGCAGGTGCCTGTTAGGATCATTGGCCCTTGCTGAAGTTCCTTTCCTTCCATCCCCACCGAAGCTTCTCCCCGGCCCTGGAGCAACTCCTGAGGAGAGGGCCCACCTCCGGGTCGGGGGACAGGGGACAGGGCACCTTACCCCAGGCCCTGGCTCGGCGGGAATTCCTCCTGGCTGCTTGCACTGCGGGTGGCTCCCACGGTGGTCGGGGCAGCGGAGGAGGGCTGGGTTGGCATGATCATAATTTTAGCTGTGCTTTTCGACATCTGGGTTACAGTGATGCTGACAGGTGGGGCGGATGTTTTTGCTGGTGTGGAAACACAAATCAAACCCAGGATAGCTCTCTCGGACTCTCCCACTACTTGCCAAGACCTTTGGGGTTTGATTTCACACAAAATGCTCACTCAGGGTTGGGGCAGGATGGAGGACCCCGGGGGCCAAAATCTCCCCAGGGCTCTCCTGAGCCAAGTGAGCGTTTCCGAACAGGGCACGGGCACTGCCCGCCCCCAACAGTCCTGATTCCATCCTGCGGAGGAGGGTCAGGACCTTGGGAGAGCCCCTAGGTCACCCCTGGACTCCAGCTTCGTACCCACCCCCGGGCCACAGCCACAGGCTGCCTGCCCGAGACCTCTGTCTAACCTGCAAATCTGACCACCTAGCTGGAGCTCCGCCTGCACCCAGCACCTTCACCGCCAGGCGGGCGCCACCTGCCTCTCCACTCGGCTCCCACCCTCCCACAGCGTGGCTCTGGGTGTCCGCAGGGCTGGCACCAGGCTCTCCCTCTCTCCTTTGCACACTGTCTTCTCAAGGCTGAGCAGAGGGGCCAGCTTCTCCACGAAGCCTCCCCGACTCTCTCTTTCCTACTACTACCTGCCTTACACACACACACACACACACACACACACACACACACTCAGAGTTTGCTCCAAGCCTCTGACTTGATTCCTGCCTCATCCAATCCAACCTGAGACCCTGCAGGCAGCCCTGGTGCTGGCGCTGGGGGAGGGGGGTCCACAGCTCACCTGGGGTCACAGACACCACAACACGGAAGGTGTGGTCGAACACAAATCCTGGCAGTCCTGATATATCGATCCCACACCGGTATGTTCCTGCATCATCCACTGTGAGGCTCTCCAAGGTCACTGTGAAGGTGAGGTTGGCGGGATGGTCCCTGATGGACACACGGCCGCTCCTCACTTCTCTGTCTGCCTCCTTGGTCTTTACAGTACTCCACACACATGGGCTCTTGCACCAGTATTTGGGAGTCTCTCTGAATTCCTCCTCGTACTGACACTGAACGCTCAGGAATCCCCCCACGGTGCCTGTCACGGAGGTGGGGCCACTTAGAGATGAACAACCTGGAAAACACAGCCGAGTGTGGTCCCTTACCAGATGGGCCTGGGTCAGGGGCGTCCTGGGAATCACCCCCCAAAGTTGCCCCATTTCATATTGGTCACCCCCCTCCTTTGCTGTCACCCCCAGGATTTTTTTTTTTTTATCACAGCAGCCCCTTCCTCCAGACCCCAGCCTCCTTTCTGGCTGCTCAGGGTCATGAAATCTTATCCCAGTAAACCCCAGATGAACAAGTGAATCCTCCAACTTAGGAAGTCAGGAGAGGAACACATGCATATCACCCTGGGAGAAAGAAAGAGTAAGGTCAGAGTAGAAATTAGTGAATTAGGAAACAGAAAAACAGTGGAATTAGCATATACATTGGAAAACTGATTTTTTATATGGGAGTGACAAACATTCTGGTGGTAGCCAAATCAAGAAAAACAGGAGGAGACGCACATACACAATTCATAAGAAAAATAACCAGGGTTATTTGTAAGCCTCTACCAGTAAGTCTGTAAACTTAGATGAAACCAATGATTTTCTATATTTAGGAAAATATAAATTACCAGTATTAGCCCAGAATATATTTCTTTTTAATGTAGACCAGTGAAGATGTGTGTTATCAAGGAGACCTTTCCCGGTGATAAGTATGTGAGGTGTAACGTATATCAAAACATCACACTGTAGGGCGCCTGGGTGACTCAGTTGGTTAAGCGACTGCCTTCGGCTCAGGTCATGATCCTGGAGTCCCTGTATCGAGTCCCGCATCGGGCTCCCTGATCGGCAGGGAGCCTGCTTCTCCCTCTGACCCTGCCCCCTCTCATGTGCTCTCTCTCTCTCATTCTCTCTCTCAAATAAATAAATAAAATCTTTAAAAAAAAACCAAAACATCACATTGTACACCATAAATATGCACAATTTTTATTTGGTAGCTATACCTCAATAAAGCTGGGGGTTAATCCAAAACAAAAAAGTTGTCTTTCAAAAAAAAAAAAAGAAAAGAAGAGTAAAACCCAGTTTTGTAAATTGGTTTTCTCAAACCTTCAAGGAACAAACATTTGTAGAGAATATAGAAGCAGGGAAACCTCCCTAATTCTCTTCATGAAAGCAGCATGATATATTGAGACTAAAATCTGGCCCGAATTTCTTGATATAATTCACCACCTTAATAGTTCAAAGAAGAAAAAATAGTCATCTCCATAGATAATGAAAAAGCATCCAACACCCATTGCTACTGTTTATAAAAACCACTTTGTAAAGAGACAAAAACGGACGCCTTCTTCACGCTTAATGGGAAACACTGGGCACCTGCCCTCGTCAGGGACAAGGCAGGGATGGTCCCTGCCACCTCCGTCCCGGGCATCATTCTGGCCGTACCAGCCTGTGGCCGATGAGAGAAACAAAGGAGACAAGCAGATATCCCGAAGGAACCACAAACTCCCACTGCAGACAGATCTCATGAAACACAAGGACACCCTAGAGGGTAAGGGACAGACAAGCCGTGCCAGGGTGACCTGCTTCCACATTAATACACAAAAGGAATAGCTTTCCTGTGGACAACTAGTTAGCAAATAGAGCCAGAGAAAACATGCAATTTATCATCAAAACAACCAAAAGGATTTTAAATATCCCAGGGATAGACCTGATGAGGCTGTGCATGCCTGTGTGCAGTGGGCTCCTGAGAGACACAGAAGCTGGATCTCCAGAAGCAGGGAGCCCTCTGCTCGCTGGAGAAGCTCTCCTCCCTTCCCTCCCCGTGCCTTCTCTGCCCTCCCCTTCATCCCCACCACCTTCCCCTCTGCTCTGGCCCCATCTCCCTGTCTTGGGGAGACAGAGCCCCTGGCCCTCGGGTCTGGCCCCTAGAGCTGCCCTGGCTACACACCTCTGTGTCCCCAACACCGTGGCCTGCTCCCGCCAGTCCCCAGCCCTCCCGCACACCCTGCACCAGACACCGGCCTCTCCCCTCGGTAGGCTCAGCAGCCACTCTTCCAATCACTCTGCCGCCACCTGCTTTCTCCTCCTTCTTCCTGTAATAATTCATCCGAAACTTCCCACAAAGCCCCTCTGGGCACCCCGCTGTGGCTCAGGGAAGGTGGGGTGCATGACCCTGAGTCATGCCTGGCCCTTCCAGGGTGCAGTCCTTCCATCTGTCCACATCCGTGCTGGACAGAGCGCTCCTTGCTCTGAGATCTGTGCGGAGCGCAGACTCGAGTGCTGACCCACCTCCACCTCCCCTGCAGCCCTGCCCCCCATAGCCTCCCTCCCCGGGGAAGACTCAGTCCGGGCAGCCCCTCACCTGGGCCCCAGAGAAGCAGCAGAGCCCAAGGCAGCCACACGACCCAGCCCTGCCCAGTCATCCCTCCTGCACAGATGTCACCCGCAACAGCACCAGGCAGCTTCAGGCCCCTTCAGGGAGGAGGATCAAGTCTCCAAGTCTTCCACTTCTGCTTTTCTTTGTGGCCCTGCTTCCTGGTTCAGTATCTTCAGGTTCTGTTCCTAGAGCTGGTCAGAAAATGAAGGACATCGAGGGAGCAAAACCTCTGGGGACCATGATGGGCTGAGACCCCGAGGACCCAGGCACCCTCCGGCCCATCCCAGCTGTGTCACAGATCCCAGAGGTCTTTCCAGTGCCGGGACCCCTGCTCCCCCACAGTGCCGCAGGCCTGCGCCCCGCCCCCCCTTCCATCACACCCCCAAGACCACAGAGCCTGGCTTCCTTCCCTCTGGGCCCAGTAATTCCTCTGGTTTCTTTGTGGTCAGGGTGAGCACCCAGTGGGGCGGAGCCAGGGCCAGCGTCCTTCTCCAGCCTTGGTTGCACCCGCAGTGAGGTTGCCCCAGGGAGCTCCCCTTCTATGAGCCCCCAGCTCAAGGCCCAGACCCCCAAGCTGGAACAGTGACCTCAGAGCCCCTGAATGGTTCTTCCTCTTGGAAACGTGTCCCCAGGCTGTGACCTTCCTTCCTCTGCAGCCCCTACTGGTCCCAGCTCAGGGCTGGGCAGAGTGGGGACTTAGCAAGCTTACAAGGACCCCCTCCTGCCCTGATCCACCTGGAGTTCAGATGCTAAATATGCACCCACATACACACACACACACACATTCCCCTTGACAAGTGCCCTCAGCTTGCACAGAAAGGCCACATGAGCAGAGGAAACCAACCCTGACTTGTGACATCACGAGCGCTTGTGGTTACTCTGAGTGTCACCCAGAGGGAGTCCTGAACTAGCTCTGGAGTCCCAAGAATGCCCTTCCTTCCCTGCCCCTTGGAAGATTTTCACTTTCCTCCTCCCTTCTGGCCACAGGAGCACCTTCCCCAGGGAAGGCACAAGGGAACCAAGAAGACGTGCCCATTCTGCCCTGGAAGATTCCAAGCACAGAGTTAGGTAGGCATCAGAAGAATTTCTATGACAATGCGGTCACAGATTAAGTAAAGCTCGTGGAGATCCAACATCAAGATCTTGAACGGAACAGGAGACTGTGCTAGAGGTGTACTTGGTGGTTTACTTGGCCTAATAATTATAAAGTTTCCCCAAAAGTGCATCTTTTCCAATTCAACCCCCAAAAGGCACTGTTACGGTCTTGAATGTCAAGGTTAAGAAGGGGACGCACCAGACTGAGAAGGAGGAGGCTAGGATCTCCTGTGGCTAGTCCACTTGGCGCTGGTAACAACCGTGGGTAAAATCTGTGGCTCCTTCAAAATGTCGACGATCACAGGCAACCTGTGGGAATAAACCGTGTAATAATTATAAAAATACTCAAATGTGAGGTAATAATGTCATTAGGTCAGTCTTTCCCCAAGAGAATACATCTTTACTCTAAAGAAAGGCAATAGGGGGACACCTGGGTGGCTCAGTGGGTTAAGGGTCCGACTCTTGATCTTGGCTCAGATCTCAGGGTTGTGAGTTCAAGCCCCGCGTTGGGCTCCATGTTGGGTGTGGAGCCTCCTTAATAAAAACAAAAAATAAATAATAAATAATAAATAAAATAAAAATTTTAAAAATTAAAAAAATGAAGGCAATAGGAAAATAGGATTCAATAGGGAGAGGTGTGCTTCACAAATAATCTTAGGAGCACAGAGAAACCTTTGGACTCCTGGAGGAGGAAGGGCAGGGGACTCGATCCTGCTGGCCCCAACCTGTCCACGAACACTAAGGAAGAAACGAAATGATGCAAAATTGCCACATGATGGGGCACCCGGGCGGCACAGTCAGTTAAGCGTCCGACCTCAGGTCATGATCTCAGGATCGTGAGATTGAGCCCCATGTCGGGTTCCGTGCTCTGCGTGGAGTCTGCTTGAGATTCTCTCCCTCTCCCTCTGCCTCTCCCCCTGCTCTCTCTCTCTCTCTAAATTAAATAAATAAAATCTTTAAAAAAAAATTGCCACATGCTGTTAGAAGATTAGGGAAGTGACACTTTCGCCCTACTCTCTAATAACTGCTAGGGGACATGATGTAGGGGAAGACCAAGCCTGAGAACTGCAGGCCTGGGGCTCATCAGGTTTAGAGCGTCTTCCCAGTGTGGACACAGGTGCTCAGAGGCCGGTGGGGACGGGGGTGGACAGTGCTGGATGGGGGCTCTCTGGGCAGACAAAGTAGTAGCAGCTACCACCGCATTGAGTCCTGTGAATGGTAGGGGCCCCAGAAAAGATTTGGGGGCCATTTAGCTATGGGGCCATTTGGCAGAACTTCCCTTTCCAAGGTGGCACAATCTCAGAGCTGCCCTCTCTCCTGGACAGTCGATGGCTCCCCATCACTCTGCCTCTTCCTTTCCGGAGCTCCAGGCCCCCTCACCCACTGTGGGTACCCCTCAAGTGTGACCAAAAGCCAAGAAGCTGGGCACTGAGGGCTGACCAGCAGGAAGTGGCCACATGACCGGCTGGCCGGAGAAGGGAGCTGACCGTTGGGTGAGTCCGTAATGAGAGGGGAGGGGAGAACCAGCACCTACTATGTGCCAGAAGCTTTGTCTCCAGGGGGTTAATATCTTCGGGATCCTTGGAGGCAAAAGGATAACTGTGAATGAGAAGCAGTGGGGGAAGGGCAGCTGGGAAGGAGGACAGAGCCCTGGAAGCCTCTGGTTTCCCAGTCTGGCCCAGCCTGCCTCTCCACTGGACTCCCTGGGACTGTCGGCACCTCACCCTCCTGCCCATCTCAAGAGAAGCTACTCCAACATGGCCAAACCCTCCAGGGGCCCAGGCAAGCATGACCAACCCATATTCCAGTGCATTCCATAGTCCCAGGGTCACAGTCCACAACCAGTTGGTCGTGGCCCATAACACACCCTCCGGCTTGACCCTGGGCACGCTGTGTTCTAGCCTGAGACGAAACTGTGGGTGAGCAGATGGGTGTCGGTCCTGGCCAGAGGACTGAGAACGCTCTCTGTCCCCGAGAGTGCTCCCGGGGCTTCCTGTCCACAGGGCCACTGCTCCGTGCAGGCCCTGTCCCCCTCACAGGTGCCTGGACCTGAAGAGAATGTCCGCACCCAAGAGAGAGGAGCAAGACTGAGACCTGGTCCCAAGGGAGCCTGCAGAGCTCAGCGAGAGCATCCACCCAGGGTCTGCTCCGGGTTCTACCCGGAGGGGTGGCCCTGGGGCTCCTCAAAGGCCCAGTCACAGGGACTGGGGCATCAGCAGCGGGAGGGGCATGGGTGACTCTTCAACGTCATTCCTTCACCTTCAGCCTCCTCCATGCCCCCCTACTCACTCACTCAAGGCTGCACTCAAGCCATCCCCTCAGAAGATACGCCTGCGTCCCCCAGGCCCCTCTGAACCCCCTCCTGTGTCCCTGTCCCTTGCAATGTCTGTTTCTGTGTTTGCTCACCCACACCGGGGTGTCACTGAATGCCCTCCTTTTCACGGTAAGACTCCACGAGAGCAGGGACCACACAGGCCCCCGCAGCCCCAGGCTCATGTGCCCACCACACTGCCCAGAACTGGGGATAGATACAGAGAAGCCAGGCGGTCAAGGCCTCTCTCGTCCTCTTGCCAAACTCCATCCTCAGGAGGAAGAAAGGCAATAGAACTTAAAATGGTGCAAGCATGTTAAGATCCATCCAACAGAGCGCTTAGGGTTTGTGCACTTACCCTAAGCTACCGCTCAGCAGAAACTAGGTCCGACAGAGACCAGCAGTCTGCACCCCTAGAGGGGGAAGCAGGGGCAGCATCCAGTGCTCATGGGCTGTCCTCTCCCGAAGCCCCAGGGACACACGAAGTGGGCAGATGCCCAGGGGCAGCCTCCGGCCAGCACTGGCCTCCCATGTCTCCTGAATCACAGCTGATAGCCTAGGGGGTGGGTGAGGGGAGCCAGCCCTGGAGGACCCCTGCCTGTGACGAGGGGGTTAGCAGAGCACGGAGGTTCGGCCCTTGTGTCCTGGCCCTGAGCTGCATCCCAGCTGCAGGCGCAGCCTCAGTCGGTCATCAGTGCTTCCTTCTGTGAAATGGGAGCTGTGCTGCTGGCCCTGCGCAACCCCCCCCCGCCACGGGAGGCTCACCATGACAGCAGAGACATGACTGTACCTGTCCGTCACTTAGGCTGCTGGTTACTGAACTCACGTCCTGAACTGTGCTCACTTCTGCCCCTCGCGCTCAGAGAGATGAGATGATTTACTTGCAAGAACCCCAACTTCTGTCCGCCATACCACGCCTCTCCGGTGGGTGACTGCTCAAGGCAGGGGGAGAGCTGGTTCTAGAAGGCAGTGGAGGGCACCCAACAGCCACCCCGGGAGTGCGATGGGGAAGAGGACGTTGGGCAATTGAGGCCGACAAATCGATGGGCTTGCCCGGGAACTCTCATTCCCCCCAGACTCCCCATCACCACCTTCTGCTTCCTCCTCCTTCCTCACCCAAGGGCAGCCCCAGGCCTCTTAGAATGATGCCAGACAAACAGAAAACAGTCCCTGTGGGCTCTTGCCCCTGTCCTGACAGAGGGTGGGGGTGGGAAGAACCAGCAAGTGGTCAGTTCAAACACTTCTAATATTGGCTTCGGGAAGCACATTTGGCTTGAATATGTGAGTTTCTGACACTCTGGGAATGACCCCACCTCAGGAAGGTCAGCAGCTTCCTCAAACACACGTACACACTCTTCAAACCTCCTTGACCCCCCTGCTTTTCTGTCCCAGCACCCACAGCAGCCTTCCCACAGACATTTCCAGAAGCTGGTAGAATGCATGGGGTTTTTGTTTATTTGGTGGGCAGCAAAGCCAAGTTTATTGAGAGTACGAAGCTCTGGAAGAGGGAGGGGACCCGAGAGCGTTGCCCGGAATGCATGTGTTTCAAAGCCAAGAACTCAGGCAAGCCGAGAGTTCACAGGCCTTTGCAGTCCCTGAGCACTAGTTGTAGACAGGACCGTGTCTCCCTCCCTGTTCCAAGGCAGCAGGTGAGGAATGTACATGCTGCCTGGTAGTGAACGTGAAGCTAATCGTGTTGCCTCACCTTGCCTGAGTCTGGTGTGTTCTTTTTTATCTCTTTCTGGTTTTCTGTGCCTCCCCGGGATCCAGACAGGTCTGACCCACTTCCATTACCTGAGTCTCTTAGTATATTACAAAGTGGAAAAGTCCAAAAAAGGATTAATGAAAATTAGAGCATTTAACAAATCAAGGCTTTTGACATGCAGCACACAGACAGTTACAAGGTTTATAAAATATTAACACACGGTGTGGGCTGGCAATGGGACCCAGGTGCAGAGTTATGGGAAGGGTACCTTCTCTCCTTCCCAGCAGGGAAAGCCCCATAAACTATGGGACTTTAAGGACAAACTCACTTAGGAATAATGTCAACACTAAGTTTGAAGAAATGTTCTAAAATTGAGTTCTGGTAAATGGTTGCACAACTGTAAATTTACTTATAATTACTGAAGTACACATACAAAGTGAGTAAATCTTATGGTGTTATACCTAAATTTAAAAAAAAACAAATTTCGGGGCACCTTGGGGCCACCATCGGTTAAGCATCTGATGCTTGGCTTCAGCTCAGGTCATGATCTCAGGGTGGTGAGATCAAGCCCCACATTGGGCTCTGCACTCAGCATGGAGTCTGCTTGGGATTCTCTTTCCTTCTCCCTCGGCCCCCCCCCACACACTCTGTCTTTATCAAATAAATAAATAAATCTTTAAAAAACAAATTTGAAGCCCATTGTGAATATGAGCCCAAAGACCTTCTCTCCACCACCACCCCCAGCCATCTATCCATCTTGATCTTTGTATAGCCTTCTTTTTTTTTATCTTTTTAAAAAATTTTATTCATTTATTTATCAGAGAGAGAGAGAGCACACAAGCAGGGGGAGTGGCAGGCAG